GAGAAGAGCAACCAAGATGATTAAGAAACGGAGGCTAAAACATACGAAGATGGGTACCAGGAATTGGGTTAGGTCTAGTTTAATGAAAAGGACTAGGTGTGACATGATAAGGAGTGTTCCAATATTTGAGGGGCTGCCACAAAGAAGAGGGGGTCGAATTATTCCCCAAAGCACCTAAAGGCAGGGACAAGAAGCAACAGATGGAAACTAATCGAGGAAAGAAGCAACCTGGAACTAAGGAGAAATTTCCTGACAATTAGAACCATTAAATCGGTGGCTTGCCTTCAGAAGTTGAAGGTGCTCCTTCACTGGAGTCTTTTAAGAAGAAACTGGAGAGCCATTTGTCTGGAATGGTATAGGTTTCCTGCTTGGGGTTGGACTAGAAGACCTCCCAGGGCCCCTCCAACTCTGTTCTTCTGCTATCTCCTGGTGTAGGTTTCTCAGAGGCTTTTCCATTCCAGACATGGATCGTTTCCTTGTATCTCTGCTCAGATGCAGCTCTGTCCTTCTTTGGGCAATTATCATGGGACCAAAATTAGCTTGGGCATATAAATTTCCAGGCACGCAGGCAAGACGGAAATCTGCTTTTGTGCACTAATTTATATTTGCAGGCGCTTTCTGAAACGACCATTTCTCTCCTCTCGCCACCTCCCAGTCTATATTCAAATGCGAGCTTCTTCGGAAACTGGGTCAACAGCGAGAAGAAAGAGGCAGGCAGAAAGAGAGAGAGAGAGAGGGGACAGGAGAATGGTGCAAAGAACCAGCTTCCTGCCTGGTTAGAGACGGGTGGAAAACGTCAACCCAGAATTTAGGACAAGGAACAGGGCTATAACCAGTTTACCCCAGTAATCACCAGTTCAGAAATGGATACCTCTGCATTGTGCAAGCAGGGGAAAGGAGATGCCCTGAGCAAAATCTAGCTCATTAAAACCAGGAGGCATCAGCAATCGCACAAACCTGAAGCCTCTGAGAAACCTACACCAGGAGATAGCAGAAGAACAGAGCTGGAGGAGCCCTGGGAGGTCTTCTAGTCCAACCCCAAGCAGGAAACCTATACCATTCCAGACAAATGGCTCTCCAGTTTCTTCTTAAAAGACTCCGGTGATGGAGTACCGTCAACTTCTGAAGGCAAGCCGTTCCACCGTTTAAAACCAGGAGGCATCAGCAATCACACAGAATAAGAATAACAGAGTGGGAAGGAACCTTGGAGGTCATCTAGTCCAACCACCTGCTCAGGCAGGCAACCCTCTACCATTTCAGACATATGTCTATCCAATCTCTTCCTAAAAACTTCCAGTGTTGGAGCCTTTACAATTTCAATACTAAATTTTAAATAAATTAAATTTTAAATAAATCTTAAATAAATGTTAAAATACTGAAGTTTGCAGATGACACAACAGTGATTGGTCTTATTCGAGACAACGACGAATCCAAATACAGACAGGAGGTTGTACAACTTGCCTCGTGGTTTGACCGGAACAATCTGGAACTGAACACGCTCAAAACCATAGAAATGGTGGTAGACTTTAGGAGAAACCCTCCTTGTAACTCTGAATGGTATTAAATGAATTGTTGCAAGTCGAAGGCTACCTGTACTCTCAAGAAAATCTTTCTTTCAAGGCTCCTCTGCCAGTGGGGTTTGTTTGTCTACGGGCCAAGTTTCATTTGTCGGTAGAATTATTAACCTTTCAAGACTTATTGAAAATCAATGTGTCCGCTCATTTCTAAATGGAAAGGAAACTACTGGACACACACTTCCTCTGTCCAACCTCGGTGTAACTAGGAAAGGGGAGAAGAGAAAAGCTGGAGTAAATCAGCCAAACGTGCCACTAAGTGGAGAAACGGATGCCTGGGTGATATCTTGAAAACTGACAGTCTGATGGCTAATGGATGCTGTCAGAAGTTAGCAGGCAGTATATCAGGCAAACGCGATCCTATGTGGCTGACTGAGAAGACAAGGGAGACTTGGTTCTGATAACATTTCTTCTCCAGCTTTTGAGGTCCATGGGACAAAAATCTGAATTTCAGGAATCAAACCAGTCCAGTGCAAGTAAAAAAAAAGAGAAGACTGAGAATTAATGGATGGTTGGATGATGGATGGATGAATGGTTAGGTGGATGGTTGGATGATGGATGGATGGATGGTTAGATGGATGGATGGATGAATGAATGGATGGTTAGATGGATAGATGAATGGTTAGATGGATGGATGGATGATGGATGGATGGATGATGGATGGATGGATGAGTGGATGTGTAGGAGTGGGAGTGTGGCTCTGTTGGCTGTGGAAGAATCTGGGGAAGGGCAAAAGCCGGCTAGGCCAAGCAGGGGAGATAGAGCAAGGCAGAGGGAGTTCAGAGGAAGACCCAGGCTCACCCTCTCTTCATCCTAGGGCACGCAGGGAGGAATGGAGAAGGGAGCAATGTGAGTTGCATGGCTTACGGGGGAGGAAAGGGCCCTGATTCCCTTCATTAGCTGCAGCTGGGAACACAGTGTTTAAAAAGGGGAGCTCTGCACAGCAAAGTTGTTGGAAGCAAATCATGAGTTATCTGTTATTGTGGAGGCTTATCTGGGTTCCTGGCATCTTCCCAACTGTGTGTGTTTTGTTGGCCTTCCAAATCTGCAATTCCTTCTCCTGCCCTGTCCAGTTAATTGCTGCAGCATGGTTTGTGTGGATTTTTATTTACAGTTTGTATGTACTTTTGTTTTCGGACTGAATTTCCTCCATTTAAAGACTGTTCTTGGGAGAGTTTTTTCTCCAGCCCAAAGGTAACCAGGACACTGGGGGCAAAGTTGGAGATAATAAAGGGACTCTTCTTGCTTATTTGACTGTGTTGCCTTTGTGCCATGGCCCAGGTCATCACAACAACTGTGGCAAGAAAAATCATGAATTGTGGGGCATTGTGGTCATAAGTCCAGGACTACCAGTATATTGTCAAAATTGAATTTTGCTAGCAAAGTTGTGATCTCTTCCCCTCCTATTCACCAGCTTTCCTAGGGGAAACCCAATCTACCACCTTTTGCTGAGTTTTGCTTTTGAGGAAAAGGAATAAAATAAGATTTTAGCCACCAAGGCTTAATAACAGGGACCTTCATCATTAGATGTTAAAAAAATCATTACTTATTGCCAGACTTCCTTGTCGGTGAAAGACAGGATAATTTATTCATATAAAAATTGCTTTGAGAATTCTTGGAGTAGGTGAGAGACGGGTGGTTGCATCAGACCTTCCCAGCTTTTTTATGTTGGGACAAGGTGTGTTCCAATTAAATGGCTTTACAAAGTTTCTTGATCGAATTTAAATTTTAAAAAATCTCCAATCCTTTCAACGTGCAAAGGCATCAGCAATATACTGAATATTGCTGATATAAACGTTTGGTTAGTTTTATTGACCTACTGGAATGCCTCTACAGCAGTATTATTATAGTTCTGTAATAACAACTTCAAGTTTCATATATATATATAAGTTTCATATATATATATAAGACTAACCGGAGCACAACCAAGCCCCCACCTGAACAGAACACGCCTCCAACCAATC